GGGTGGGGGAGGCGAGGGAGGCGGGGAGTGGGGACCCAGCGGGTTGGGAGCGTGATCGCGGGCGGTACGGGATAACCGCAAGCTGCGGACGCCACCCAGCGGCCAGCATGAAGCCTAGGGAAGGCCCGCCTCGACGCGTCCGCGGCGCGCAGAGCATCCTGGGAGTTGTAGTCCGACGTTTGTTGGGCGGGAGCTGCCGTCGTCGGTCGGACCTCTAGTCCCGTGGTGCTCCGCAGCAGGCCGCGCAGGCGCGGTGAGCCCGTGCTGGGTGACCCGGAGGTTGTGGCTCCGGGGCTGGGCCGAGCCGGCTCTCGGGGGGTCGTTGAGCGGGCTCGGGCGAGGAGGCTTGCGGCGGCCGGCACCATGTCGAGGCAGGCGAATCGTGGCACCGAGAGCAAGAAAATGGTAACCCGGCGTGCGCGCCCTCGGCGGGTGGGACGGCACTGGGACGCGCTGGGGTAGGGGCGGCGCGGGCGCGAGGTGCGACTGGGCACAGCCCCTCCTGTGAGCTGGTGTTGCTGGAAGGAAAGAGGAGGCCCTTTCCGGGTCGGCTAGGGAGTCTCATTTGTGGGGCGCCTGGCCCGACGCAGGCGGGAGGGCCGCTGGAATAGCCGAGCCCCCTACCCCCTTCCAAGAATGAGAGGCCCGGCCGAGTGCTGGACCAACAACGACGACGGTGCTAATAACAGTAACGACCACTTAAGGCTCCCTGCGTGTTAGACAGCGGGCCACTCACTTCGCATGCAGTATCTTATTTAATGAGTCCAGTAACCCTTTTAGTAGATCACCTTACGGCCATTTTATAGCTGAGAAAGGTTATGTAACGACCCCAAGTTTACAGCTAGAACGACTCAGAATGGGAGCCCAAGTCTTTCTCCAAGTTCGGCTTCCGATTATCAGGCCGTGCCGTGGGCAGTATGAAAGACGCCCAGGTGCTGCCCTGGCCAAATGGAGCTTTCTAGTCGGTGGTGGCATAAGAGGTGGACAGTAAGTGCTCGGGAATAGTGGGACCCCATACGAAGGCATCACGTTTGGCTGCTGATGGGACTTGGACCTGGGACTCCAACCTCAACCCCAGCCTCACTGCCACTGCTATGAGCCGATTCCCTCTCAGCGACCCTATGTAAAGCATCTGAAGCTGTAATCATTCTGGGAGCAGGCAGCTTCATCATTCGCCCACAGAGCGGATGGTGGACTTGAACTCCCGACCTTGCGGTTAGCAGTGCAGTGACTAAATCACAGGGCTGCAGTGAGCATGTTCTTGAGTGTTGTTGGAACTTCCTCCCTAGAGTCTGGAGCTAGGCCCTCTTCACTTCATTCGTAGTTCATTAAATGCCCCTCCTGACTCGTTCTCTGTCTTTCCATTTTATTCTGGATTTCTTCATCATGTTGTCTGCAGTGTCGTCATAAATA